GCTCGAGACTGTTGCTTCGCAAGAAGTAGCTTGTGCTGCTGCTGTTGTTGTTGTCTTGTAATTCTTCTTGTCGTGTTGCAGTTGCTGCTGCTGCTTTTGTCGTTGTTGTTGTTGCTGCTGTGTTGATTGTGATGGTTTTTGTTGGCAGAGTCTGACCCGTTGCCTGCTAAGCTCTGGGCCTTGGTGCAGTAGCTCCCAGCCACAGAGCTGGGGCATGTCGGAGATGTCGGTGTTGCCAGTTCAATAACGTGTCTAGTTCTTGCATGGTGTAGCCAAGTAGACATGACTCGCAGAAACTTGCCCTGTGCCGAGAATGTTTGAGCTGCGGCGCCGCTGGCATGGACGAAGAGGTGAATGTTCAGATCCTTACCAGCGGAGACATGGTGGACTGTTCGAATGTCAGCCAGGGGCGTGGAGGCGAGAAGGGGGCATATGGGCATGCCTATGCAGCCACTGTGAACAGTGAACCGTGCATGCCGCTGAAGATGGTAACGCATAGCTGGCGCAACAAGTTTTCCTTCCTCCTCGCGGCCATCCTCGCGGATGCCTTGAACAGTGAGAAGTATGATCAGATCGCTCAGCTGCTTGCAGAACGCCAGCTCGGAAAGATTGTCCGTGCTTTGCAGAAGGCAGGGAAGCTTGACGCCGCCTATTGGATTTGTGCATTCTCGGTGAACCAGCACACGGGGATTTGCGCTACACCGCCAGCAACAGACTCAACTGGCCACGCAATCACTCCTTGCTGCTGCGCAACACCGAAGCACTTCGATGGGGACCTAAGCGCGGCCTGGCTGTGTTTGCGAAGTCGGTTAATGTCGGGGCCTTCACAGTTACATTAAGGTTTGGGGGCCCATTTTATTAAAATTTAAACCAGGAGCGCCCAAAATAGTATAAGTAATGATTTAGGCCCCTTCCTTCGGATGAAGGTCACTAGGAACTATCTGCAAGTTGCGTGCAACATCTTGCTGTGAGAAAGTACTTGGATGTGCTTGGTGCCCAGATACGAGTCACATCTACAACGTGCAGCTTCAACAATCGAAAGCGCGACACATAGTGTTCTAAGGAGATGAACAAGTTTGACGATATGATGGCCTACCTCAAGACATACTTACGGGGCCACGGCCAGGCAAGCTGGGTGCTCTGGATGTCCTTCATCATCTCATCTCTCTTTGCACAGAAGGAAGTGAGCACTCCCAGCTTATCACACAACGATCTTTGCCGACAAACTACCCCGCGCTAGCAACTTTAGCAACATGATTTTCAAACTTTAGCCACATGATTTTCGACGCGGAAAACTCTATTACACCGTGGCATGAAAAAAGAGGTCGTAAGCTGTGTTTTAAAGCTGGGATGCACCAGTCTTAAGTCTTCATGTCATTGATGGGAATCAGTCATCGCAGTGTAGCTGCTCCGGCCAGTTCTTGCTTCGGTACTCGGTGTCCCAAAAAGCCGTCGGCCGGTATCGCCGGAGCCCGAGGCCTTGATACAAACTGCTTGGAGGCTCGGCTGGAACAGGTGGTGGCCTTGGAGCAGGACTTCACCTTGCTCACCAGGGTGCTTTGGTTGAAGACTTTGCGAAGCAAGCTCACCCACCCTGCGGCCCCTGAGCCCTTAAGTCAGAGGTGTGGTGTGTCGCGGAACTTGTCGAAGCGCACGAGCTTCACCTGCAGCAAGCCGCTTTGCTCGGAGGGCTGCGCAAGAGTTTCGGGTTCACGTAGTGAGCTTAAGATCGGGGCAAAAGGTCCGTTGCTTTGTAGTTCGGACGTCGTGAGCTGCGCTGGAGGCTTTGAAGATACATTCGTCAGCTTCCAGGGATCAGTGCCTGGATCGCCTCGTCAGCTTGGATGTTCGAAAAGCCGAAGCCTCCTTTCCTGCAGACAAGGACGGGCTTCGAGTTTAGGGTTTAGAGTGTCGCATCCTCCCGAAAATCCCTCCAACTCTTTGCAGGAGCTGGTCTTGGGGAAGATCACAGACGTGGATGGATTCAACAAAGACCTTCAACAGCTCATGCTGCATCGCCTGGAGGCTTTCCTGAAAAGTGCCTAACCTGTCTTGCTGTTTCGGTCCGGGAATCCACGATCAGGGCCCGCAGCGCCCCCCGACTCAGGAAGGCTTCTTGCATGCGGAGCAGGTGAAGACTTTCGCGACCTTGCTTGATGAAGTGGTTCTGGCAGTCATCAGCGTGGCCATCTGAGTGCAAGAGCTTGAGAGAGTCTGAAAGACTGAACTAGGGCAGTTTCTCTATATCCCAGGCCCCTTTTTCGGACCCTCATTACGAGGAATACTTTAAAATACAGCGAAGCCAATATAGCACGCCCTTCCGTTCACTTGAAATGTGAGTGTGTATACACGAGCGTGTACGTACATACATGCGTACTTATGATGTGCATTTTCATATACATACGTGTAGACATGCATACATGCGTAGGTACGTGCATACATACAGATGACTTATATCTCAGGTGGATCATTCTTGGACTTTGTTATTCGAGAACTGCCCAGATTTCTTCGTTTGATTTGTTTTGCTCGGTCAAAGCCAAGAATTCGTCCGGTGGACGTGTTTTGAACGAATGCCGATGTGGTTCCAGCTTTAGTACTTAGGGTTTTAAGTTCATATTTTTGCCATCTTCTGATTGCGTGCTGACATTTTC